CTATCATACTCGATATAGCTAGCTAACTCAATAAAAGTGGTACGGATAGCTAGCTATCACAAGCCGATATTGCCCGATAACATATTTTTATAGCTAGATAATCTCAAAGGCATTTTTTTGCTTGGGATGTGATGCGCCCGTTTCACTTCGGTTACTTCTTTGTAAGTCTTGTGTAATTCCTAAACTTGACTACTGCTCCGCAATCTACGACTCAGGTTTCATTATTCATAGTGAGCCAGCGGAATCTGTGCAGCAGTTAGCTGCCAGAATTACGACTAAGAACTTCAGTTACCAAAACAGAAAGTTGCGGTTTAGTAAAAACGCTACAACTACCAGATTTGAAGAATATGCGTCTTTACTTTCGTTTAGTTAATTTTTATCGTTTACTCTACAACTACTCATTACTTAATTCTTCTAATCTGATTACTTTTTCTTCCACTAGATCATCAGAACATAATAGGCCTCATTCTCAGTGCGTCATGCTATCTTTTACTGAATTCGAAACTGTAAAATTTTCTTCTTTTGATAGCTAATGGTTGACTGGAATACACTACTAACCGAGTCCTTAGCAGCCGCATCTAACTTACACCTGTTCAGATTTGGTTTACGGACTCGCCTAAATTGTTGATTTTCTTCTGGTTATGTTATTTTTTTGGTTATGTTTTTCTTTCGTTCCACATGCGAACGACTTCTCCATCGTTCGAACTCATTTTAACTCCATATATTTGCTTATCATTGTTATTATTTATTTTTGCATGTATATCAGTACACAGCAGGACTTCTCTTTGAGATATTTTGTACTAGCTATGTTTAGAAACTCATGACTTTTTGTCAATAAACTGAACTGAACTGGCTTGGCTAAGTGTGACAGAATTACATCCGTTTTCTGCCCTTCGATTGCGTTGGGTTGATTTTTCTTCGCTTTAGTCTTATACGACTAGAATAAACTTTCATGCGATTTTCGCTCTGTTTATGACTCAGCTTGAACTTTTGATCTGGATATCTATTTATTTTTATTTTACACAAAATCACCATATATGTCTTTTGACAAAAAGCGCTATACATAACCAATATAACCATAACCTACATACAAAATCTATTCTGTTTTTTTAATCAAAATCAACAACTTTTTTCTGGTCGCTGGCCCAATAAAATTCACATTCGATCTTATTCTAATCGAGAACAGTAACCGAATGGATTTGTTGAGTCTGCGGAACATTTGGTAACTAAAGTTCTTAGCCATAATTCTGGCAGCTAACCGCTGCACAGATTTCGGTGGCTCACTAGGGATAATGAAACCTGAGTCATAGATTGCGGAGCAGTAGTCAAGTTTAGGAATTACACAAGACTTACAAAGAAGTAACCGAAGTGAAACAGGCGCTTCACAGAAGACGCGATTTATGGCGCCTAGCGTACGTCTGCAAGAAAGAGCTGTTCCCGGAACAGCTCGAATAGTGAATTTTTAATATTAGGTGAAAACAGCCTGGAAACCCTAATTTTCATACAACTGACTTTTCGGTAGATTTTTAGAACTTTTTCTAAAAATAAATATTTTCACAAAACTCAGCATGGTCGATTACCGATAGTCTATCAGTCTGTAAGGCTACCAATAGTCACCGGGTGCCAGTTCTGTGACTCGTAGGAAATCCGATACAACGTCCGAACTGTGGAAAATCAAGGTCTCGCTTTACTCCCATTTTGGAGAGGACACCCCGAGCTATCAGCCCATGAGAAAAAAGCAACACAATCCTATTGGAAAATTTTAACCATAGATTTCCAAGATGTCGCTTAGATCCATTTTTGTAGAGGACACTTCAGGCTATATATCTATGAAAAAAAACTCATAGATTTATATGTCAGTTTTCAGAGAACCGAATTGGTTTTCCAAAGACCCTCTGGAAAACCGGCTTCGAAAATTTTTTCGAAATCCGTTTTTGCTTATGGAAAGATAGCTTCAAGTCTTGGCCATCGAATGGTAAAAAACGCAAGTCTTGATCTTGTGTTCCCTGTGAGTTATTCAAAAAATAATGACCGGCCTTGCTTTTTGGATGTTAGCATTATATAACCTAATAACGGAAAAAAGATCTTATTCAAGTTTATTTTTTTCGAAATCTTCACTCATACAGTTAGCGCAAATCGCACATATCTGCGTGTTACTTAAATGAGAAGAAAACGTTTATCATATAAGAAAAATTTTCATTTGGTATTCAAGGAAGTATATAACAAGTATCGACCTATATGTGATACGTTCGACAAAACATCTGAGAAGAGAAAAAACACATTTTTGTTTTCCAGTGAAGACACGCGTGTATATATAAAAGATACGAAAAATGGAATAAGCTGAACTTTAGAGTAAGTAAACAGCATTGAAAGAAAGAGCTAAAAGACATCAAGAAATGTGCTCTGTATGTACATATTTTGAGATCAATCTCTAGTGGAACCTGAAATGATTGCATCATGTTCCCGAAGAGAAAGCCGGGTAAAACAAATGTAATTTTACGTGCTCTATCTAATGAAACTAAAATTAGAACTTAGAATTTGGTAATTAAGTCGAAAAGCGAGTTTTTGTCTTAATTAAGTTTTTCTTGAAACGCGTATATTTCTGACAATACGCGTTTCCGAAATGTAAAACATTCAAATTCGGATAGAGCTTAAAATTTTATGTATACTGGTAGATTATCAGTATGTGATTGAGGGACACCTTTTCTCACTCAAATCACAAATTATAAAAATCGACTAAATGTTCCTTATATCGATGACACGATAGAAAACTAAGAACGTGTTTTATCATATGGGAAGAGAGAAAAGAGAGATGAAGAAAACACATTTTCTCTTTTTGACAGTGAACGCGAACTTATATATGCAGAACGGAAAAAGTGAAAAACTTAAGTTTTAAACGTTCAAATTTTACAATATTCATACGTAAAGAAATGGAGTGTGAATAACAATATAGAATATTAATTATATTAAACCAGGAGCAGAAGAAACAAGCATTTCTATGCAAAACCAATATGATATTCGGAATCTACGAAAAACACTGCATCGAATGATGTATAATTCGACGCATTTTGAAAAAAAACGTTTTCTTCCTAACTTTAGGCAAAACACCTCAGGCAAAAATTTCGAGAGAAATTTTTTGGCTGCCTTCCAAATCAAACCTGGGTGAGTACCGTTTCTCAACATACCCAATCCGAATAAAGTGGCCTTCCGGCTTGAATCACGGCGAATAAAAAGTTGGTAGTTTTCATATGGCTAATATGAATGGTGCTGCGATATATGTATGCCGAGAAGCTTTGGCGTTGGATCATGTTTTAAAAGTTGATTATTAAGAGAAAACATAAATCTGTTTGAAAATTCGGGTCCAGACAGACATATGTCCATGAACACTTATCAATGTTCAATCGCATGTGGTTATTCACACACAAAGTACAAATAAGACTGATCCTTTTGGGGGGTAGAATGTATGTATATAAGACATGTTTTCTTAATCAACATGTATAAAAGATTGTTAGGGGGAAAAGTCGAACGGTGTTTCAAATAAGAGAAGTGGAGCAGGTACGCTTAAATATCGGTCTTTTTCCATTAAACAAACCGACATTCTTAAATTCCTCTTTAATTCTTGTAGCGAACTTTAGTGCAGGACTTTAGTATCATGTCTGCAATGAAGCACGAACCTAACCATTTAGGGCTTGTTCAGCGCGTGGCTTTTAATAAAGGCTCGTCATATTCTCACCCTTCTATACTCAGAAAGTGTAGTATGAAGCTTCCTAATACCCAAAAATTTTAATATGTCAAAGCACCTCTATTATTATTCTCCATTTATATTCATGGCACAGTAGCTCACACTCTCGGCATAGTCATCCATTATTCTCTTGTAGTACACCGTGAGAGATCCAGCTTAAATAACAAAAGTAACTTCGCAAAATCTGATTAAAAGGTATATCAGGCATATTTTTTTAATCAACATCTATACATTTCTCACATACTTGAAATTGTCAAATTTTGCAGCCACTCGCGTATCGATTCATGCAAAAACCAGACTGAGAATGGAAACCGCATGAACTTAGTTATACAAACAAAACGTATGCAGCTTCTGAAAATATTCCTCAATATCTGAGTGATTTAGTGGAAGTGCAATCAATCTACTTTCCAGGGATTTGTCGTAAGATTTCAATGCTTTCTCATAATCACCTTGATTGCCATAGACTAATCCGATGTTATTATATGTTCTTGCAATGTCTGGGTGATTTGGTGGAAGTGAAATTAGACTGATTTCAAGATCTTTTTCATAATACTTCAATGCTTTCTCATAATCACCTTGACTGTCATAAACTGATGCGATGTTATTATATGTTGTTGCAATAGATGGGTGGTTTGGTGGAAGTGCAGCCAATCTAATTTCAAGGGATTTTTCGTAAGATTTCAATGCTTTCTCATGATCACCTTGACTGTCATAAACTGATCCGATGTTATTATATGTTGTTGCAATATCTGGGTGGTTTGGTGGAAGTGCAGTCAATCTAATTTCAAGGGATTTTTCGTAAGATTTCAACGCTTTCTCATAATCACCTTGATTGCCATAGACTAATCCGATGTTATTATATGTTCTTGCAATGTCTGGGTGATTTGGTGGAAGTGAAATTAGACTGATTTCAAGATCTTTTTCATAATACTTCAATGCTTTCTCATAATCACCTNATTATATGTTCTTGCAATGTCTGGGTGATTTGGTGGAAGTGAAATTAGACTGATTTCAAGATCTTTTTCATAATACTTCAATGCTTTCTCATAATCACCTTGATTCCAATACACTAATCCGATATTATTATATGTTCTTGCAATATCAGGGTGATTTGGTGGAAGTGAAATCAATTTAATTTCAAGAGACTTGTCATAACATTTCAATGCTTTGTCATAATCACCTTGATTGCCGTAAACTGTTCCGAGGTTATTATGTGCTAATGCATGATCACTTTGATCTAGCGAGGTGTCATCGAGCAACATATGGAAATATTGCTCTGCTCTACTATTTTCACCCATTCTGATCAGCAACATACCCAATGTGTTCAAGTTGTTTGATTCACCAAGTTCACGCTTTATATGGTTTTTTAATAGGCTTATCTCGATGTCTTCGTCTCCACTCAGTTCTAGGTGAACATTCCAAACGTCTTCTTTCCGGAGCTTCTTTATGGAGATAATCCGGAACACGGTGCCTACCGAAAATAGAATTTCGTTTTCTGTACTAAAAGTACTTACTGTTTTTATATTTGCGAATGGTTGTCTACATTTCTCGGTATCGACCATCATTTCAAACAGAACTGACGTAATATCTGATCTGTCTAATGAGCTCCGAGCATATCGCACAGCAACGGCTTCTTGAGCAGTTGTTGACAAGAAGCTGTTCATCGATAAAAGTCCTCCTACTTTCTTTTGTAAACTTTCGAAGTCCTTGTTGGGTATCCCTAGTCCACGATAAACAGTGATTGTTCTTCCGAGAGGAGTAGTCGATGTGGTTTGTAGATTGTGAAGCTCCTTGTGAAGGTCTTTGATGAAAAAGCCGAGCTTGAATATCATGCCAATGTCTTGTGTTCGTAATGCTTTATTTAGCATTCGGTAGAGAAAGCAGTCTTTCGTGTACCACTCGATTGCTTGCTCTTTCGAGTATGTTTTATAAAATTGATCGATGGTATTTAGTTGTGTGTTATTGCCTCCATAGTCCATTCGACACAAATCAATCAGTTCTTGTTTCGTTGATTCTTTGTGATTGAACTGAGTTAAAATCTCAACAAGTAATTGGAAATACATGAATGAGGCTTCTTGTTTGTTTATTTCTTTACCATTTGCATTGGGTGCCATAGCGGTCACGGACACAAGATTATTGGAGTTAATTGCCACATCTTTCGTTAGTTGATCACAGATATCATCGATATTCGTGGAAACAGCACATACTTTCTCGTAGCCTTTCGCCCACTCTTCATGTTTCGCTTTATTGAAGCAAAGCATGTATATAGATTCTATTTGTGGTTTGTCATGAATCAGTGGCACAACAGATTCACCTAACGAGCCAGATGCGATAAAATATATTTTCTCTGATTCAAGTGACACTATGTGATCGGTACACTTTTGCTTATCCTCGAAAGTTTGAAAGTGATTTATTGCTTGGCGCAGACGAACCTTTGCATTCAAATTATCGGTCGTAGAACTACCGTTCAAGTCAAGCCAAATGATGGTGTTCACTTCGAAATTTCGTCGCTGTTGAGCCCAGCTTTCGTGCTGAGAGCCGCTTTGAATATGTGCAACATTAGCAGTTGAGATTGTTGCCGATTTTGGAGTTTTGTTGCTCATTGTTTGCTAGCTGTCTGTTTAGTGATGTGGATCCTTAAAACAAAGAGAAGTGATGAATGATGCTTAGGCGATTTCCATGTCTTCCCTGATTTCTCTTTTGTTTCATCATTGTCATGTAAATTTAAGGTGAGAAGATAAGTTAGTAGTCGCGCATTAGTGTGGTTCAGTGATGACTTTATTCATCTGCTAACCAGATAGCTATAGCTCAAATTCGGTATGCGATATAGTTTTCTAAATTGTCAAACAACTTGTGCTCATTAGTGTCTCAAACGCCTAGGTGGTCGCTTGAGCACAAAACGAATGTAAAGTTCCTCAGCGGTTTTCAAGTCCACTTAAACTACTTTTCCTGTTTCAGTAATTCTTGTTTGTGACCTATTATTGGGGACCTTTGCTCGCCAGTCCAAATCAATCTAAATTACACCAAAACTCCAACACATACTCCATCTCGATATTTTTCATACTCTATCTCGATATTTTTGATGAGTGCTGTCAAACTACATGAACATCTGTGTTCAGCTCACTCATAGTATCTCTATTTTCATTATTTCTATGCATTTTTCCTTTCCTTTGAACAAAAGTTTTCTTTTCTGTTTTTTGTGGTGTCACAGGTATCCTAGTTACTAACTTGTTTCACTACTTTCTTAATTTCTCGAATCGTGACTAGATAAACATCAGCTATTAGATCATTTATACTTTTGACACTTCGTCAGGTTACCTACTGTTGCACAGCAAAACTGTGCGATAAGTTGAGCTCAGAAATATGTGACCAGCTTCGAAATGCTGCCGCATCAAAAGTTTGCTATTCAAATCGTGCTGTTTTTGTCACTAACATGTTGCTTGGCCATAAAATTTCTTTTCTTCTTTCTTCGAATTTGTTTGACATAAGTGTTTATTTGCTTAATATAATTGCGGGACAGCACACGATGCAGTTAACCGAAACTAGACATGAAAATGATTCGAAGAATGTGATGAAAAACATGCAGAGTAAAAGCAGGCACAGCCATAGAAGCATGCGATGTAAAAAGTCTAGTTGCAGTTTGGTTGAGAAATGTTCTTCCACTTAAGGTTGATCATGATCTACTTTTAACCTTCTTGTTATATAGAATTGTTATAAGCTTTATACTATTGAAAGAAATGAGAATGCAACTATGGCGCCTGCTACATCAATATGTATGAGAAGAACAATATCATATTTTGAAGTAAACCCTCTTTTTTCAATATACCAACTAAATATCAAAAATATACTGTTTGCAACCACAGTGTCTTTAATTAAATTAGGGCCATCTATTGCCACAATTTTTCATAGAAATAGTTACAAGTGCAGACGTTCACTTTCCTCTTCTTAAAACGTTTCTCTCTCACTTCTAGCTTGTTTTGGAAATATTTCTAAGTATTATGACGTGTTGTATGGTGACGGTTTGTCTAAAACCCTTCGGTGATGTTGGCAGAGGACGTCCGAACCCTAGAGAACGTACTTGATGCAAGTGCTTTACTACTTGCCAAGTACTTGGTAATAATCGAAATACTTGCCTTATTGCTAAGAAGTACTTTCTGAAAGTACTTGGCAAGTAAGGACAAGTACTTACAAGTAAATTACTTCTGGAAAAAAGGCAAGTACCGGCTTTATTACGCAGACGAAGTACTTAGTCCAAGTACTTGGCCTCAAGTAGGTTCTCTAGAGAAGGTTGCATTTCGGCTTCCGGCTGGGCCTCTAATATTAAAAAGGCCAAATTGACGGCGTATCACTTCTGACCATTTTTTGTTTCAACGCGACAGTTTTTCTGTTTTTCCTTTGATTAATACAGATTAATTAGAATAGTTTCGAGCTTCGCAAGCTATCACATCCTGTAGAGCAAGCAATTTTCTACAACGGATATACTTGTTCAATTTTTACCAGATCATCTTCACTCTTTCAGATACGCTTTTAGATAGCCTCAAAATCGATTTCTTGGGCTGTTTGTAAGTACAATTACTCTATTTTCATAACGACTCAACATTCAGAGCCGAGACACTTTTCATTTTATGGAGAAATATTTAATCTACTTAATCATCTAGTTGCCATTTTACATTAGTTTGTAGCTTTATTGCTAGCTTTATCTCGCCAAAATAAAATCTCTCAAAACCAAACTTAGGCAGCGCCTAAGACTACAACTGTGAAAGGGGAAAAAAATAAAAAAAGGATAGAAAGGTGGCAATTTCTATACGTGTTTAAAACCTTTTTTGCTTTCCTGAAAACATGTTTATGTACTGGTTATATTTTTATATTTTTGTAAATTTTTGTAACTTGGTGAATCGAACAACTTGAACACATTGGGTATGTTGCTGATCAGAATGGGTGAAAATAGTAGAGCAGAGCAATATTTCCATATGTTGCTCGATGACACCTCGCTAGATCAAAGTGATCATGCATTAGCACATAATAACCTCGGAACAGTTTATGACAATCAAGGTGATTATGAGAAAGCATTTTGTGTAAATAAGTTTTGTTTTTATAAACAAGTTCATGCGGTTTCGATTCTCATTCTCAACACCGTTCGACCTTTCCCCCTAACAATCTTTTATACATGTTGATTAAGAAAACATATCTTATATACATTCTACCCCCAAGTAATGGCCTTAGGGCCGATTGCATGCCTTATTAGTTAAAGCTTAAACCAATTCTCAAATGACATTCAGAGCGTATACGAAAGCATACAACGAAAAGATTCCATAATTCAACGAAAGAGATCTGCAACGTTCTCAACTGCTAGAAGCGACAAGAACCTCCATGAATACACTTCACAAAAAGTAAATGAACAAACAGCCTTTTTTGTTATTCCACAAGTGAAATATCAGTTTAATAACAATGCAAGTACACAGAGTCGGCAGCAGCTACAGGGCATGCAACAACAGCGTTATTTAAACAATAATTCAGATTTTCGATCTGAACTCAAAGAAAGATGGATCAGCACGATTTTGTGTAGATTATCGGAAGCTTAACGAGGTAACAAAGAAAGATAGTTATATATTGCGATCCAACCTAAGATATCGTATAATCTGTCCTTCGCTGATTCCTTCATTGCTCCTAATGTGGCTAAAGCAGCATAATACTGCATACTCTCCAGTTTATTCAAATTACTGGACATAGTCAATGAGTAGATGACAGCACCGTAGTTTAAAATTGATAATACACATGATTTAAAAAAATTTTAAGTGCATTTTTAGTCAATAAATGTTTATGCAACTTTATTAATCTTATAATAGACGATACTTTAGAGTGCACCTTTTTAATGTGAAATATCCACGATATGTCACTTGTAAAAAACATGCCTAAATATTTAACTACATCTTTCTGCGTAATTGGAGCACCATATAACATCAGAGATTATAAGGTTGATGATTTCGTACTATAATAACGCAAACTAAAAGTTATTGCTTCACACTTAGCCAGATTTAAAGGAATATGCCATTTCTCTGACCACTCTTATACTCTAACTAGATCTCTATTTAACTTTAGTGTACAATTTAAAGGATCATCCTTCTGATTTATTAAAATTACATCATCTGCAAATAATCTCACAGTACTTTCAATATCGTTTGGTAGTCCATCAATATAAACTAAGAACAATAGACGACCAAGGATTGATCCTTGTGGTACTCGTTTTGTAACCAGTCTTTTCTCAGACATTTTACCTTCAAGCATAGTCTGAATAGTACGCTCTTGCAAGTAATTTTCTATCGACTTTAACGTTTTACCCCTTACACCTTTTTTTGTAAAGTTTCAACATTAAACACTCATGATTAACATTATCAAAGACTTTCTTAAAGTCTAATAATGCAGCAAGAACGAACTTATTTGCAGTTATCCCCAGGTTTATTTTATTCACAACATCTAATAATAAATTAGTCGTGCTATCCTTCGCTATAAAATCACATTGAAATGGCGATAAAAGTTTATTTTTAACAAGATGATGGTATAACTGTCTGTGGACTAATTTTTCTCGAACTTTCGATAAGGCTGGCAATAGCATTATAGGACGATAATTTGATGGATCTAAAATATCATCACTTTTATATAACGGCCCTAGTGAATGTGCTTGCAAGTGGGTACTTGCTTACTTGCAAATTTCTGTCGGTACACAGTGGGGAATTTTGGCTAGGCACGTGGACATGTGCTATAAAAGCGGTATGAAAGTTTCTAAGCACTGTTTTTATAGGTTTCCGTATACGCTCTTTTCAAGGACGCAGTCTTTAAACTTCCGAAGTATGTTCGAACTGGTTTTTCAGAGATCGGATCTCTGGAAAATCGATACAGACCTACCTTGAAAGCTTGATGATTGCGTCATTAAAAAGAGCGTATACGAAAACCTATAAAAACAGTGCTTAGAAACTTTCATACCGCTTTTATAGCACATGTGCACGTTCCAAGTCAAAATTGCTATGTCAATACGCTGAAACCGTCGCAAAAACGAAACATTTTTTATTCAGAAATACCCTGAAATACATATCTTTAGTTTTTTACGCTGATTCCAAATATGGTCTTTTTATTCGATTCTGAACGAATCTACACTGAAAAAAATAGAAAATATGCTGAAAAACCGAGGGCTTTTGGAAATTTTACTACACCTTCCAGAAGCGTCGACGCTAATTGGCGCTAAATGGGTATATTTATTACATAT